GGGCATGAAGAACAGGACGGGGCACCCACGGGCACCGGACCCCCTTTCCTGGGGAGGGGCCACGGGGGCAACCCTCATGCTCCCCTCCATCCTCGGGGGCATCCCACCCCAGCTCCCTGCTGCCAGCGGAGTTGGTCCCATGGCACTGGGTGAGAGTCCCACAGCAGCAGATGGCAGTCCCATGGCACTAGGTGGAGGTCCCAGGTGCCCTCTGTGGGTCCCGTGGCAGTGGGTGGGGGTCCCAGGCACCCTCTGTGGATCCCTCAGCACCACAGTAGGTGTCCCAGGCACCCAGGATGGGAGGTCCTACAGCACTAAGGAGAGGCACCAAACCCCCTGGGTCCTATGGCGTCACGGCGGGGAGGGGGGTTGCAGACCCCTGTGCACATACCACCATGCTGGGTGGGGGTCCCAGGCTCTGCTGGCGGTCCCTCAGGCCTGGGGGCCCGCACGGGTGTCACTCCAGAGGAGGTGGCTTCTGAGGCTGCTGCTGCTGCCGAGGGTTTTGGAGCCCGAGGTGGATTTCCAGGTATCTGAGAGCCAGGGAGAGTCGCCGGCGTCCAGCCTGCGGAGCCAAGGCGCCGTCAAGGTGTCACTCCCACCACCCCAGGGTGCTTGATCCCGGCCACTGGCCCCCTCTTCTCGCTCACCTCTGCCGGGCCACCGTGTCCTCACTGGTGCAGTGGCACAGACCTGCAGAGATGGGCACAGTGGTGACTCCTGGGTGGCATGTGGTGGGCACTGAGCTGGGGGGGTCCCTGCTGCTGCTGGCAAACCCATCCCCTCTGCTCACCTTTGCCGTGGGGGCTGCCGGCGCGGCGCTGGCACAGGTAGACCAGGAAGGCCAGGAGGGTCACCCAGAGCAGGGCACCAGCACCGGCGATGATGGCGGCCAAGGGCAGTGCCTCCGGGCCCCGTGCCATCACCTCCAGGAGTGGCTCTGCGGAGGCCACAGTGTTACCCCGCCAGGATGTGATGGTGCGGAGAGATCCCTTTCCCTGCACCCCATCACCTACCCAGGATGCCACAAGTGGCATTGCTGGGGACCCCCAGCCCCGCGCCATTGAAAGCTGCCACCTGGATGCAGTATGTGGCCCCGGGGCCCAGGAGGAAGGTCTCCAGGCGGTGGGTGCCTCCGTCTACTGTCCTGTTGGTGTGGTGGTGAGAGCCGTTGCCCAGGGACCAAACCTACGAGGCACGGAGAGGGAGCTAGCATCCCCCCTCACTCGTGTCCCACAACAGCACATAGGTGCATGCATGGGTGTCCCCTTGGATAACCTCCCTCCCACCTTGGATGGATTCTCTTGGATGGACCCTTTCTGATGGATCCTCCTTGGATGGATCCCTTTGGGTAGACCCTCCTTGGATGGATCACCTTGGATGGATCCCCTGGGATAGACATCCCCTTGGAGAGACCTCTTGGATGCCCCCCCCACCTTGCATGGATCCTTGGATGGACCTCCTCAGTTGACTCCCCTTGGATGAACCCTTTCGTTAGATTCCACATGGATGGACCTCTTGAACGGATCCCTCTTGGATAGACCCTTCCTTGAACTGACCCCTCTGGATGGACTCCTTGGATGCCAACCCCCTTGGACTTCCTTGGACTTCCCTGGACTTCCCTGGATGGACTCTGTGGATGGACCGCCCCTTAGAAGGACCTCCTCGGATGGACCTCCTTAGAAAGACCTCCTTGGATGCCCTTCTTTGGATGGACCCCTCCTGGATGGATCCCTTGGATGGGCCTTTTCGGATCGACCCCTTTGCATTGATCACCTTAGATGGATCTCTTAGGATGTATCCCATGGCATGGGCCCCTTGAATGGATGCTTTGGATGAATCCCTCTTGGATAGACCCTCTCTTGGGTGGAATGCCTTGGATAGACCTGCCTGGATGGGCCTCCTTGAATGGACCTCCTTTGTTAGCAGCCCCTTGGTGCCCCCTGGTGCCCCTAACCTTGTAGCCACGGATGATGCCATTGTGGGCGTCGGGAGGAGGCGGCTCCCAGCTCACAACCACAGTGCCGTTCCCCATCTCAGCCTGTCCCACGGTGACATGTTGGGGTGCTGCACTCGGCGCTGCCAAGACAGTGAGGCTGAGACCTCCCACGGCCTCCAGCTGGCCCCTGTGCCCTTGGCATCCTGTTGGGTGAGGGGTGCCCCCAGATCCTTGTGTGCCACATGCCCAGAGCTACCTTCCTCAGGGATCCAGAGGTGCCTGGTGTTGCTGTCCAAGCCCTGGGCTCCTCTGGCGTAAGGCCGGACCTTGAACTCATACTTGTAGCCCCTCTTGAGCGCAGGGATGATGGCGCTGAGCTCCCTGCCCACATCGTGCTGGGCCCAGGTGGTGCTGGCAGGGAGCAGGCAGCGGTACAGCACCGTGTAGCCCTCCGGCGCTGGTGCTGGCGTCAGCACCTGGAGGCAAAGGGAAGAGGCATAGCAGCACAGAGCCGGGGGAACGGGGACGCTGGGTGGCTCCAGCCCTGTCTGTTCCCCCTTCACCCCGTCACATCCCAGCAGTCCCCCCCCCAGCCAGTGGAGTTGGACGGCGGCCGCAGAGGGGAGTGTGGTGCTGTTGTCCAGGTGCAGCCGCACGGCCAGCAGGTCCTGTGGCACAGCCTCCTGCCTGTCTGTCTCCGGGAGGTCTGTGGGCAGAGGAAGGGCTAACGGCAGTGGCGGGTAAGGTATTGGGCTGCTGTCATCAGCCCAGGCACCCACCTGAGGTAACCTTGCCTGGAGACCCAGATGTCTCCTTAGATGAATCCCCTTGGATGAACCCCCTGTGATAGCCCTCTTGCATGGACCCCTTAGATGGACCACCCTGCTCGATGGTGGAGACCGTTTGATGGATCCCCTTGGGTAGGTCTCCCTTTTATGGACCCCACCCCTGGATGAACCCATCTTGGATGGACCGGCTTGGGTGGAACCCCTTCAGATGGCCCCCCTTGGATGGCCCCCCTCTAGGATGGCCACTCCTTAGGTGAATGCTCCTTAGACGGACCCTCTTGGATGAATCCCCCTTGGATGGACCCCCTTTGGATGGATCCCTCTAGGATGGACACTCCCCGCCCCTACATGGATACCCTTGGGTGGGCCAGCTTGGGTGGAGTGCCTTTAGATGGACCCCCCCTTTAGATGGACCCTCTTGGATGGCCCTCCCTTAGATGGACCACCCTGGGCAGACCCCTGCAGACAGATCCCGGTGGATAGACCCCCCCCGAGGCAGGCGGGCGCCGCCGCTTACCCTCCACGCGGAGGACAGCC